GCCGTAGATGAGTATATCTTTTTCTCTTTGAAGTTTAAGGGGTAGTTCTCCAGCGTAACACAAAATGCTGTCGATAGGGCTGGTTCTGAAAGCTCCTATTGAAATGCGAATACCTTCATTATGTAAGGGATCTAATATTTTGAGTAGATTTTCTTTGGCTGTGTTATAAATAATTGATCCATAGTTAATTCGTGACAGAATTAATAACTTATATATATTTAGAAGGCTTTTGGTGTCAGCCCCCCAGGTGTGATGTGAAAGTGTTTTCATTATGTTCATTTTCATTTTACAAGAGCTTTTAAGTTTTTTTAGGTGTTGGGTCCAATTTAATTCATTATCGAAGATCATTCCTAATATACGTAAAGATTTGCAGAAGGGTATTTCAGAGTTATTAAGGAATAATTTGAGGTTCTCTGTCATGTGAACGTGGAAACAAATACATTGACTTTTCTCTGGGGAAAATTTGAAACCAGTCTTGTTTGACCAATTTTGGAGAATATTGAGTGCTTGTTGTAGTATTTCAATCGTGGTTTTAATATTTTGTCCACTACAATAAATGTGGCAGTCGTCGGCAAAAAGTAGGTGTTTTGTAGGTTTTGGTATTTCTTTAAATATATTATTAATAGCTAGGAAAAACATTGTTACGCTGATTACTGAACTTTGGGGAAGGCCGTTTTTGGTTAGGTAGGTGTTTGATAATTCATTGTGAGCTTTAACTTGTATTGTACGGTTTTTTAAGAAGTTTTGAAGGAATATAAACATTTTACCATTTATGCCACATTCTTGAATGATTTTAAGGGCTCTGTTTCGCCATACCATATCGTATGCTTTTTCTAGGTCTAAGGCTATTAATATTAAATGTTGTTTCTGATTTTTTGCGTTACAAATGTCATTGTGTAAGGAAGATAGGGTATCGAGAGTTGAATGATTTCTTCGAAATCCACATTGTTCATTTGTTAGTATATTTGATGTCTCCAAGTGCCAAACAAAGCGCTTGTTTACTATTTTTTCTAATGTTTTTCCTAGTGTATTGATAAGTGAAATGGGTCTGTAGTTAGAGGTATCGAATTTGTTCTTGTTTGGTTTTGGGATAGGTATAACAATTGCGTTGCGCCATTGGTCAGTATATGCCTTTTTCCCAAATTATATTATAAATCTGGAGAAGTATTTCGTGTCCTAGCTTTGGTAAATTTTGAATAAAAGAGTAAGGTATCCCATCTGGGCCTGGGCTTTTGTTTTTGCATCCAGATAATGCATTGCGTAATTCGGTTATATTGAAGGGTTGATTAATTGTGTTTTCTTGATGGTAAAAATTGAGCTCTAGGTCCCTTTTAATGTTTTCTTCAGTCTTGTGTTTGAAATTTAAAAATGCATGTTCGTAGTTTAAATTACAGTTATTTTTTATGAAGTGCTGTGCAAAACCTTCAGCTATATCTGTAGGGGATGAGAGTGAATTACCATTATGGTTTATATTGAAAGGTAATGGTTGGTGGGTTATTCCTTTAATGGATTTAATTTTGTTCCACATATCGGTTGAATATGTGTTTGAGTTTATTGAATTTGTATATTTTTGCCATGATTCAGTTTTGCTTTTTTTTGTTATAAATTTTGCTTGAGCGCGAAATTTCTTTAGTGCTATGTGGTCGTCAATGGATTTGGTCTTTTTGAATTTGTTTAAAGATTTTTTGTAGGCTCTAATTGCAATATTGCATTCCTTGTTTCACCATGGGACTGTTTTCTTTTTATTTTTTATATTAATTTTGCCGATAGTCAGATTGGCGGCATCTAATATTATGTTAGAAAAATTGTTAATGATTGAATTTATTTCGGTTTGGGTGATTTCGTTTTTTAGATTGACTGGGTGATTATTAAGTTCATGATTTATGATGTCTTGGTAGAGTTCCCAAGAGGGATTTTTTAAGTTCCAACGGACTGGTGGGAATATTGGGACTGACTGATCTTTAATTTTTATAGAAATTGGCCAATGGTCACTGCTGCTATATTCGTTAAGTACGTTCCATTCGGTTTTTGGCGCAAATGTGCTATTTGTTATTGTAAGATCAATGGCTGATAGAGATTTATGAGTTGCGTTATGACGAGTGTATTCTCCAGTATTTAATAATATTAATTGTTCATTTTCTAGAAATTTTTTCCATAATTTTGCCTCTTTGATCCGTATGATGAGTTCCCCAGATTTGGTTACGACTGTTGAAGTCGCCAAGAAAAAAAAAAGGTTTGGGTAATTGTTTTATGATGTCATTGAGGTCATTTAGTGTTAAATTGGTGCTATCCGGTAGGTAAATGTTACAAATACATAATGAGGTTTTAAGACGTATGGAGACAGCTATTACTTCAAGTGGGGATTGGATATGGATTTCAGAGCTTTCAATGAGATTATTGACAAAAATAGCGACTCCGCCGCTTGCACGGAGGTATGTTTGGCGATTTTAGAAGAATCCGTTGTATCCTTTTATGGGAAAAGTGGTGTTGGGTTTTAAATTAGTTTCTTGGAAGCATAGGGCGATTGGTTGGATGTGAGTTTTTGCTCTGTGGATATCGGTATTGTGTTTGTGTAGACCGTTTATGTTCCATTGAATAATAGAGTCCATGGTTAGAAAATTAAGAGGTTATGTAATAAAGCTTGTGTGGTTTTGTTGTGTACGTTTGGGCGTATTTAGTTTTGGATAGTACTTTGTTGAAGAGGTTGGGATTGGAAGAGTAGATTTCTAAGCTTCGTTAGACATAATTTAATTGATCTATCCTTTAATTTAGGATGAATTTGTTCGATTATGTCCATTAAAGTTGGGATGCTTGTGTTTACGTTTTCGAGAAGTGTGTGGATATTCGTTGATTTATTGTTAAAGTTGTCCAGGATGTATTTAAATTGAACGTATGTAATTGGTAAGGACTCATTAAAGGTGAAATGTTCGATTATTGGATTTAGTTTTTCGTCCAAATTTGTATCTAGACTGCTGAACGAATTTGAGCGAGATTGTATTTTGGGTTTCTTGGTGATTTTTTCATTTTTTTTTTTGGCAGTATTGGATGACAATAAAGCATTAGGAGAGTCTGGAGGTTTAGATGATGACGAATCGGACATCAGTCTTTTTTGTGTTTCAACTGGTGCACGGGACAGTGCTTCGTCGATATTATTTTGGGTTACAGGAAAAAATTTGGTTTCATCAGGATCTTCGGTCCAATCCGATTTATTTTGGTTGGGTATATCAAGCGTTGGACTTATGGAAGGATGTATATTTTCAATTGATTCAGTGTAATCTACAGTGAGGTCATCATGTTGGTTTGATTTGTTTGGGCTGGATGGTGTATTTTTATCTTGTGCATAAACTATATTTTTGCAATTATTTGTGGTGTGTCCGCTGGCTTTGCATAGAAAACAGGTTACTACGTCATCGGTGAAAAAAATTCGGAACTGTGAATCGTTTAACGTAATTACTAACGAGTTTGGAAGTTTAGGAATGTCTTCGTGTTTAATGAATAATTGTCTTCGAAAGCTCATTATATGTTCGAAGCCTTCAATATTAATTCCCGCTTTGAGGTGGTTGATTTGTGATATAGGGAATATGTCTAAATTGTTTAGGGCATTTGTAATTGCTTGGTTAGGTATAGACGGGCATACATTTGATATAATGTATCTTTTTGCCGGGTTTACCAATCTGCGTATTGGTATAATTTGATCATTGATATTGATTGATTGGGTTTTTTGTAATAAATTATCGAGTATTTGTTTACTGGACAGAAAGATGCAAAAGCGATTATTTGAAATTCTAGAAATGAACGTTATATTTTTAGGAGAGACAATTTTTCCTATTGCAAGAACATAGTCCTTTTGTGGTATACCATCAATAGTGTTAAACACTAAGGCTTGTTCGCGGCTGGGGTTTTTTTCCATGGAGACGGCAGTTACGAAGTTTATATTATTATTGTTCGTCTTAATCGATGAAGAGATAATTGGTTGGTCATTAGTGGATATATTATCTGCGATATTGTCTGCGGTGCGGTTGTTATCGCTGGACGGTGTTGACGAGGCGGGGGGTGGTGGTGGGTTCTTGGTTGCGATGCGTGAGATATGATTGCTCGTTTTAGTGGAGGGAACACCGATATAACGGTCGGTACCTTGCACTGCTATATTTTTGGTTGATTGTTGAATTGACACGGTTTAGTGTGATGATTTATTTATTATGGTTTTAGCGGTGTGGAATTTGTTGTATTTGAGATGGATGTAGATGAACGATTGGGTATGGGGTTTTTGGGCGAAGTGCCCGTAAGATTTAAATTCATTTCGGGAATATAGGCGGTTGGGTATTATATTAATTAAAACATATTACCTTTCCGAATGTCGACGTGTTTTCTGTGCTATCGAAAAGCTATAAAACGAACAGAGCGATAAGAACACGTGTTGCACGGTCAGCTGTTGAACACGAACTGTTAATTTTTTTTATTGGTTTGAGAATATTAAAATACAAGGTGATCGACTTATCGTGAACCACTCAATATCTCGCTGAGTTTAATAATAAATTAAATTTTGTCTTTACATAGTGTTTTAATGCAATATGATCTCAGTTTTTCACCATTTCTTTTGTTTTCGCCCCCATCCCAACTTAGTTTTTTTGATAGCAACTTTTGAAACTTAAATGGTAACGCATACATTTCATTAAATTTTTTAATTGAAAATAATGTACTAAAAATTCGAAAAAGAAAAGATACATTTTCTTATTAAACCCATTGAGATATTGAGTGGTTGACGATAAGTTTAACACCTTGTATACAATTAAAATAAAGACTGGCGGACAACCGATTTCTAACCGATTTTATAGAATTTATTCAAAATATTATAAGAGTAAGTTAGAGGTTTTTTACAGTGGTTAGATAAACCATTTCGAAGAGATGATTTCCCATGAAAATTGAATTTTGAACTATATTATAGTATATATTTATTTTTAACTTGTAGGTGACTAATTTTTTTTGTGTTTACCTCACAGATTTCGAAACTTATGGACACCGGACTTGGTTCGGTTTGATATGCTAGGATCTCGTGTCGGCGGTTTTCTCATGTCTCTGCCGTCACCGTCAGTTGCAAATGGGTCCGGAAAAGTGAGTATTCAGTATATAATATTATGTTATGTTTATTATTATTAGTATTACCAAGTAGAGTTTTAAATAACATAAATGTCCGACCAGTGCGACAGTTGTACACTTTTTTATGTGAGTTTGGGCTGAACGGGTATCACATACATATACACAGTTGGTGGTGTTCGATGTTGAATTTTCTAATTATATAATCTACAAAACATTTGCCGGAAGAATAAAAAACTTTCCGGTATCTCTTATAGTGCGTCCGATGGGAAATCACTGCAGTTGCGATCCGGCCGCTATGTTTTCTTTTTTGTTTTGTTTTGGGGTGTCATTGAGCGTGTGAAAGGACAGTAAGGTCGTGTGACGGTTCCGGCCCGTCAACCGAAGCAGCACTGATTTTGTTCTTCTTGCTTTCATAGCTATAATAACGTTGCTGTGGTCGGAAATCGTATATCAAGTGGGAAAACTTGCACGAATTTACAGACCAACATCCCGTTGAAAAAATAAATAGTCACTATCAAGATTTCTTTATGCAAATCCCTTTATTTTTTGTCCTTTTCATGTAACATGCTAACGGTGTGCACGGTTAACTAGGTTCTAAAAAAAAAAATAACCGAACCTAATCATTTTTTGTACAAGTCGTACAAATAAAAAATGGGTTTTCTTTATGTATATTTACTGGTTTTATGTATTTTGTAAATGTAGTATAATTTATTGTATTTTTATAATTATATTGATAAAATGTTTTGAAAAATAATTAATTTATAAAAGCAATTATAAACTATTTAAATAATAAGTTTGAAAATGATTCGAATAACTTTTAATTGCAAAATGTATTATCATGATCATTTGGATAACGTTTTATTTTACTCTGTTTATGCTTTTGCAAACATCTAAGGAATGGTATTAACCCTACAACGTATGAATTAATTTTTACCGCAATGGATTTGCTAAAAAATAGGTTTTTAAATGTTGAAAGGGTTAATGAAAATTAAAAAAAATAGTTTTTTAATTCTTATTTAAATGTATGGACTGAATGGGGCTTAAGTAAATGTATCAACAGTAACACATCATTAATTAATAGTTGTGAAATCCAAATTTACTTCCACCTTACAGTTCTAATATTTACCAACATGTTAAAATACATTTTTTATTATTTTATTTCCAAACTATAACGAGTAACCATATATTATTTTTTATACAATTTTTAAAAAAACATTAACTGAAGTGCGTTTTTTAAGTGATTTTATTGATTTTTATACATAGTACACTAAGCGCAAATATTCATTGAACTATTATATTTGTACGGCATTTTTTTATTTTTTATTTCTCTAGTAGGGTTTTTGAATTGCGAACTTGAGTCCTCCATCTGACCTTTTACTGTTGATTTAGTATAGTGACCCTTGTTACTATAATATACAAGGGTTGCTGTGAACGAGTTTTCTTGCCGTCGCCGATTATGATCTCTGCGTTCAGTGTTATCGCAGACTGGAAATATTATCAACCTACAAACTCGAGACGCTGTTATCCCCGGGGTAGACAAGAGAACGACTCGCGTTTTAATTGTACACAACTGATACCGGAAACGACCTTGACTAACGCGCCTAGTTGTATATCGTACATGACGTGCCTATACTGGTGCACTGTTGAGATTAAAATGCAAAGTAGTCTCGTTCGTTTGTTATTCGGACAAAAGCCCAGAGTGGAATATGCAGTCGACCGAGCTGTTGTGTATGCTTACCTACGGTTTTTGTTCAGCAAGGCGCGTTATATATGCAAAACGGGTACACGGTGGCGTGGGATAAGAAAAAATTGCCTACCCACGGTACGGTTTTCCTTCGTTGCAACAGTACTGCACCGGAACGGGATAAAAAAAATTAAAACTCCCTGTTTATCAATATGAACGGGTTAGTGCTTGGTTGGTTACCGTTGTGCAAACGACATGCATAATTAATGAATTTCCCATGACAATATTAGTCGTTGAAAGTTCATTTTTAAAAACGTTATTTTTTATATTCTATTTATTTTTTATTACGCGCCAGACTACTATACATTATTCCATCTAGAACTGCAATTTTTATTTTTTAAATTACAATTTAGCTGCACACGAAAAAACACGTCGGTAAAAAATACATATTAAAAAAAAAAACAAATTATCTTTATGTCGTTTCTGCGAATGAGCTACCAGCCCGCTTCGACAGACTTTAATTGAAGGCATCAATATTATAATACCGTGAAAATGAAGACACCGTACGTTAAACACGTATCACATGACGTATACAACACGCTTATTAACACACATTTTTTTGTAACTATCGACTAGCCTGACGTCATTATATCGCCACTTTGTAATTATCATTCGAAAATACGACGGAGAATGAACACTGCTTAAACTACATTTAAAAAAAATAATTTATCTAGGCCATCGATTGAAAGAACCGATAATAATTTACATTTTCCACTCAACGGTAGCGGTCAATTTATTTTGTTGCCAAACGCAGCTGACAGTTTGCCTTTTGCGACCTATTTCAGTTAACTTCTAAGCGCATTGTCAAAAAAAAAATAAAAGCTCAAACAATAACGTCGGCTGACTTTATGCTTAGCATAAATGCCCCACAAATATATGGCATGTTAGCCAAAACGAAAACAATACTAATTACAGTTTAACATTTTAAAATTATTTTACAATATGAAAACGTACAAAAAACTTTTTTGTTACATTTATTTCATTTTATTTTACAAATGAATGATAATAATTTAGAAAGACCAACATACTTTTTTTTTGATAAAGTAGAATAATATCTTTAAAGTGCACTCTTCTAGATTTACAAACGTCAAAGTTGTTAAAGACAAAATAAAGGAATAAAGAAATAATTATGAGTATGCCTATTATAATATTACCGTAAATTATTTCTATTAATAAATAGTAAAACTAAATTATTAAACCAATATTTGGAATGATATAACAGTTCTTATAAAGCAACATTTAACGACGAAAGTACAAGTTATGTATTAGCAACATTATTTAGAAATGCTTTATATAATATATTAATGTGTGATGAATATTTAAAATATGCCCACTATACATACATTTAATTTTTTGTGATAACAATTTTTTTTTTGTATATACAGAACTAATGAGGGGACTGTTGGCCACATGACTACCACTCGATTGTTATAAAAAATTGTTTTGTTTCAATATTCTTTTATGATATAAGATAGGCGTTGAAAATAAAATACATATTATAATATTGTTTTAACCCTAATAAATGAAATATATTAAATGCCTACGTCGTTCCGCATTAAACTTTATTTTTTATAATATTAAATATTATTTTTAAGAAAATAAAACTAATTTACTTTCACCTTACAGTTCTAATATTTACCAACAAGTTAAATTAAATTAAATTTTTTATTATTTCATTTCCAAACTATAACCAGTAACCCCATACTCTATTTATACAATTAAAAAAAAACATTAGCTTAAGTGCGTTTTTTTAACAATATTGAATACCTGAAAATCATGCTCTCCCCTCCCCGCAATAAAATACTAACAGTGTTTGTTAAATTATTATGCCTGAGCTCTATAGCATGTCATTAACAGCGTGGTCGATCCACGTTGACTCGAGTATATTCCATTTTAAAAGCGCGGCGTCATCATCTATACTGTTGTCAAAATAATAATAATCATACAGTGTATTGCACTTGCAAATTTACCTAAGCGCGTTTGACCGGAATCGCTTTTAATGGGAATGCGCGTGTTGTGGATGGCAATTAATTTGGACGGCTTTCGAGACAAGAGCACACCACACACACACACACAGTTCATTTTCATATGGCTGCGTCACGGACGACCGTGTTGTTAGGTGTAAGTGGATTGCTGCAAAAGCTTTTAAGCTCGATAAAATAATTATTATGACAAACGGCTAAAAGCCAATTGGATTCCAAACGTTTCCTAAACTTTTCGCGGGACAACCGAAACAATAAAAAATTTGTCTTTATGTTAAACGGTATTACGCGACACTTAAGTACACAATCGGTTCGCGTCACAGGCGATCTTTCTCCGATGTTTATTTTCCTTAAATAATTTGATTAGTTTTCGTTTCGCTGTTACTATATTTTATGTAGTGCAAATACGACTCGAGCAATCCCCACGACTAAATCACTCGACAAATAATTGACAGTCAGTCGAATCGATATTAAAAATCGACAGAATTTCATTGTCGATGGCTTGTCCATCAAATAGATTAGCGATGACTGATGACAAAATAAAAGTAACGTTTTTGACGACAATACGCTTTCAGCACCTGATATTATAATGTAAAGTTTACTATACATGACTGCATTGCAAACAATATTATCAGATATGTATATTGTACGCAACCTAACAATACTCATTAAGTAAAATAAATATTTTCTCTTAGCTGTACAACAATTGTATACATCCAAACTGATTTTGTCATTGAATTAAATCAAATACAACTTAAAATGTGCCGTAACAATAAGTTGCATTACTATTAATTTCCAAATGACATAAAAACGGTTAGGTTAGATTGATGATTCACTAAAGTACTATTGATCCCTATAAAATACTATGTTCAATATGTTTTATAGCAACATGAGACACAATGAGTTGCTCTTTCGTTGTTTTTGCTCCATAACAATCTCTGATGCAGTAAAATAAAATAAAAACGATTGACTCCTCTACACAGAAAAACATCGAATCATGGATATATTTTTGGAATTTGAAGACGGTATACCTAAATCAAACCGGATAAGAATTTCAAAAATATCATATCTTTCTTCTCCCTTCTCTATATCTACATTCTCCATATTTCATTCCATTTGTCATATTTTTGTGATAACAAATTTGGAGAGGCACTAGTTTCCCTAACTCATGCTCCAACGGGTTAATTCATTTCTTATTTATCCAATACCATCGCTCAACTGTACTTTTTATTAAAAAATGGCGAAAGGGACTGTTTTTACTTTTACTAAATCTCGAATGCGTAGCAAAA